TGGAGGGATATCTTGTTTTGTAGAATAATTTATATCTTACAAATCTTAATATTTCATGTTTTCAAAATGCACGAAGTCTATGAAGCCTGTTACACATACCTTTGAAAAATTTTAAGATATAAATTGTTAATGTTTTTTCAATTCCTTTCTATTAGGTCACACTCTCCCTATATATATCTTGTTCTAATTTTCATGAAATACTTTTTATTCATCCATTCACGTTCAAATACATTTTTTTTTAACTTGTAGTGGATGTTAATACAGTTTTTGCAAATATTAATTCAGTAATTAAATTTAATTCATTAATTTTATTTTTTTTAGATTTAAGTTGCATATATCTACCCATAGATGGCGTCGGATAAACATAAAAAAATGAATGAAAATTATTTATAAAGGACTCTCTGCAATATAGAAAAAAAAAGTAGGAATTGACATTATTTTTTTTATATATATTACTTGTTTTTATTGCAAAAGCACTTGATTTTACATCATTGTCTCCCACGCATCACAGATGCGGGAGATTCGAGCATAAAGGTGCATGATACAAAACAGCAATTGGTACTTACGTATTAACGGTACCTTGGCAACAGTTGCGCCAATAAAGAGCACAAGCGCCAACCACAGCTACAGATTTGGTGGTTTTTAAGTGGCACCAGTCTATTCTATTGGTTTGGTAACCTTAGTAGCTGTTAGATTGGCGACACTTAAAAACCGCCAAGTCTGTCGCCAAGGTACCGTTAATACCCAGCAATTCATAGCAATATCAATAAATACTACATCAGACTTGTGACTGCATAAAGCTAAAAGAAAATAAGTCGCTGGAGGGCGACAGCATCCACTCTCTATCCCGCCAATATCTTCTGTATAAATTGTCTTCATTCAATGAAGAGCAAACTTCAGCAAACGATCTTTTTGCATCTCAGAGTTCTGGTTGCACTAAGGACTGTTACATATACCAATGTTGTGCAGATGTTTAGCAAGACAATCGTGTCCAGCCTCCAGACGGAAGGCCGCTACTTCCACGGATCTACGAGAGTCTGGGATCGAATCTCTCCATTTCTTTTACTTGGTTTCTTTTAATAATTTGATGTCATAATTTTCTCCCATAGTATGCTTGACAACTCTTTTGATCGATGAAAATGGCACTTCACCACTGTTTGATTGTGAAATTTCAGTTCCCTTCTTTAGCTAACTTATCAGCTCATTAAATTGTTAATGTTGTTTTTGATTAAAATATTTTTAAGAAAAACGTGTGAAGTTATGAATTTCAATAGTGTATTCATCTAGATCAGGGGCCTTTAAACTTTTTAAACATTGACTCCTCCACAAAGTTCCAAAGGCCAAGACCTAATAGCAAGCTCATCATACCGATAAACTGTAATTTTGAATTACATAATATATTCGTTTCTGGACTAACCAGGGAGAGAGGTATTTACGTTTGCAATTTCGGTTGTCACTTACGGGCGGGTCAAGGATACATAATTGGGGTGGAGATGCCATCTTCTGCTACTCTAGCACAACGCCATTTTCTTGAGGAGCAACGGTCTTACGGAAAAACGCTAATTACACTTGATTAGTCAAAGTTTTTTTTTCTTAATGCAGCTGGCAATGTAGAGACAGTTGACCTTTATGCCATAATCAAAGGCTGCACCACTGTTACTCATTTAGCATCACCCAGTGGGTACGTGTAGTTTGAAGATAGGCTACGAACGCTAGTAACACTACCTCCTCAATGCTCCAAAATTTTATTAGACCAGGACCAATAGTTTAAAGAGGATTCCGAACCACTACAAACATTGCAACGCCGGGACTCGAACCCAAAACCTGTGGTACCGAGCGCCAGCCCCTCGGCCATCAGGCCCCCTTGTATATACATCGTCATCATTGGCGCAACAGTCCCATTGTGGGCCAATGGCCGTCTGCCCATTGACAGATTACGAGACGAGAGATGTTTTTCTTTTTACGAGGTAGGGGTGTCAGCCCTACACCCAACGCTCTTACAGTCATATTAGACCGGCACCTACGATTTAAAGTGGATTCCGAACCGCTAAAAACATCCATGGCACCGCCGGGACTCGAACCCGAAATCTGTGGTACAGAGCGCCAGAGAGCTAGACACTCGGCCATCAGGCCCCGATTAGTCATGGTATACAATGTCATTTTGTAGCGAGTAGTAAATTTATAGCATAGCTGTAATTTTCCACTGACAAATGCAAACAATCATCAGCGGAAAGTTACAGCTACATGAATCTCATTAATTCTAATTATAAAGTTTAATTTCATTATGTGAATTAACTATGTATGCCAGTTATTGTAATCTCATAACACTAATTACAGTTGGAATTTTCATTATGTACATAAGTACAATTATTTTGTATAATTGACATATATTGTAAATTTTACATTTTACAAGGAATCAAAATAATCTGTGGAAGGCCCAGGGCCGGATTTAGATGAAAAGAGGCCTTAGGCTATTTCACTTATGAGGCCCTTTCAGCTCCCATTTTTAAGTTTGTTTACCATTGCTGTGACATGTATCAATATGCTAAATGAAACTATGTTGTGATGGATACTAATCTTTACATAAAAATGTGGAAAGGATAATAAATACAAAAAAAGTCGATAACACTTATTTGGACATTTATTCTCAGCACCCTATATAGTACTTGTAACAATAACTCATCCAACGTAACACACAACATTTACAAAGAAACAAAATTCAAATAATGAAAATCTTTGACTACGAAAATAAAATATGCAATAAAAATGATCCTATTTTCTATCAAATTAAATTTAATTTATTCAATGCATTGAAGATTAAAGCAAATTCAATTCAGATAAATTTATTTCATAATAATTCGCATTTAAAGTTTAAGTATGAATTATTAGGAATTTTATGTTTTAAACTAAACCAAAAATAGGGGCTTTATTCAAACAAAATCCAGATCACAAAAAAGAAAATATCAAATTGTATATCATATTAATTGTATTCATTCCAAGTATACATTTAAAACGAAATAGCAGATTAGAAGAATTTCTTCCTAAACCTTTTCTTTCTATTCGAATTTCTTTCTAAACCAATGAGCCGAACCCACCAATATTAACCATGTTTGTTTATGAGTCATATGTGTAGAATTTCTCCTTATTTTCGATTCAGTGTTTTAGTGTTTACTGTATTTAGAATAGTATCATTCTAATGTTGCTAACAATTTGATTGCAGGTACCTCTTGATCTTGAGGCCCTAGGCTGAAGCCTGGTTAGCCTATAGGAAAATCCGGCCCTGGGAAGGCCATATTGATAGTGTTTGTAGGCCGGTGTTGGCCCGGTGGCCGTAGTTAGGTGATACCTTGATCTAGAAGAAATAAAGTCAATTATTATAAAAGAGGTACCAAAACCCAACTTTTGTGACTCTTTTCCATATAGGATTGATTTCCCAAATTCATTGTCGATTGAATGCTTATGGGTGAAAGAAAAATTACTCACTTCATTCCAATAAAGTTAAATATGTTCTATTTTTAGAATATGAAAAAGCTTAACATAATGATAATGATTCATACTAGATAATCTTAGCTTATCTCTTTTTCTTTAAAAGTGATAAAGAATGGAGAAAAAAATGTTACTATGTGTTTGATACATAAATTGAAATAGCCGTTCATGTTTTATGTATTTTCATGTTTGCTTTCTGAGGGTACAAAATTTGTGCAAATAGGTAAAGGAAAAAAAAATTTGAAAATTGTTAAATTTTTGTATAACATTGTTCATCTAATTTGATAAGTATATATGTATTAATAATTTGAATCAGTATATATATTACAATTCCTTATTCAAATAAGGACATATGTAATTTAATTTTATTATCACTTAAAAATTTCTCGGCTTTTTATTTTTCATGATTGAAGAGTATTTTCTAGCGTTCTAGCTCTCGGTGACACAGGTTTCGAGTTCGAGTCCCGGCGGCGCCATGGATGTTTGCAATGGTTCGGAATCCACTTTAAACCATAAGTCCTGGTCTAATATGGCTACTACTACTACACCACACCACATCATGGTGTCTAGAGCTGAGTTGCCCCGTTACAGTTTGAAAATGATGTGGGTGAGAAGTCTGACTGAGAACTGTGACGTTTTGCAGTCATATTAGACCGGGACCTACGGTTTAAAGTCGATTCCGAACCACTACAAACATCCATGGCACCGCCGGGACTCGAACCCGAAACCTCTGGTATCCAGCGCCAGAGCGCTAGCCACTAGGACACTCAGACCCGATCTAATATGAAGTCTATGTAGAATTACCACAGTTATCCAAGTGGTAAGGTACGATCAAAGGAATCATAACTGATTTAATGAGCCATTCGTGGTTTCGCCTTAACACGGCATGGACTTAAGACATTTATTTTGTGTGTGTTCTAACGCAGCTTTCAAACAGACAGTTGTCTTTGATGCCTTAAGGCAAGGTCTGCACCGACGTTACTCCCTCAGCACTACCCAGGATGTGCATGTAGCTTGAAGATAAGCTGCAGAAGCGTAGTAACACTGCCCCCACAACGCTCTACGATCCTATTAGACCGGGATCTTCTGTTTAAAGTGGATTGTGAACCACTACAAACCTCCATGGCACCGCAGGGACTCGAACCCAAAACTTGTGGTACCGAGCGCTAGCCAGTCGGCCATTCAGGCCCTGGACTTAAACATGCATGGTTTTATCTTTGACAAGTTTATGACTACTGGCAGGATTAACCAGGTAACTGTTTGTTTTGTTGTTTCTTATCCCACTTGGCTGGCCAAGCCCACAAGTCCATATAGACTCATGATTGAACGTTCGAATGGAGCACCCGTAGGTAGAAGCCTATTTTGCACGTGACGCTCTTACAGTCATAGAAGACCGGGCTTAAAGTGGATTCCGAACCACTACAAACATCCATGGCACCGGGGATTCGAACCCGAAACCTGGGCACCGAGCGCCAGAGCGCTAGACACTCGGCCATTCAGGTCCCAAATTTGCCAACGGCACGCAGTGTTCCTAGGTGGTCACCCACCCAAGACCGGAAATGCTTAACTTCGGTGATCGAACGAGAACCGGTGTATTCAGCATGGTACGGCCGTTGGTACCAGGTAACTTCCTCGTTATTGCGAACGTTCGAAGAAGTGCTATTTTAATGCACCTTTCGAATCCGGGAGGTGCGACCTTGACCGCGGGGGGAAGGGGGAGGGGGTCGCGACCTCGTCAGAGGAAAGTAGAGGAAACTACGGTAACGGGTCACCCCTCTGTGGACAACGCTTCGAGTGGTGATTCGACAGTTTTTTCTCTAGACCAGGGATGGGCCAACTCCGGCCCTCCGGAAGTTTCTATCCGGATAGAATTTTCCACGGATAGAATTTTAATTTGCCGGTCTGAGGCAAATTAAAAAAAAATATATGTTTATCTATTATATATTCGTCTTCTTTTCTATTTTGATTAAATATTAGTTTTTTTCTTCCTTTTTTACAAAGGGCGGGTGATCTTTTTACTTTCTCTATTTTTGTTGTACAAAACATAAGTCGACGGAAATGGCAAGCTCAGACAGGTTTCAATCGGTTAAGTGTTAAAAGTGGAAGTTCTTTGTTAGTTATAGCTGTAGAATGGCGCCAACAAGCGTTTAAATTGTGAAGCAGTGAGGTCAGATTTGTAGGTTGAATGAATTGAGTTGCAATCTAACAATCATCTCAAGCAGTTGTTTTCTAAGTATGCCAAAGGTAGAGTTTTACAAATCATTATCGAAAGTGATTTTCCCAAATTTAATATCTCACGCCCAGAGAATCAGTGCTATGTTTGCTTCATCTTACATAGCACTTACATATGTGAACAAGTGTTTTCAACTATGAACCTTAGAAAGAATTATTTCAGAAATCGACTGACAGACGAGCATTTAGTCTCGTTCCTTGGAATCGGTACATCTCACTTCGAACCTCAATATAGGGAGCTTTTAAAAATGAAATCGCGATTTCATTCATCTCATTAACATATTTGTAGTAATATTAAATTGTATACTTGAAATACTTGTATAGTACATTATTAAATTGTAGTACTTGTATATTGTTTTTAAAATTTTAGAAAAATTTATCTTATCCCACCAAACGTTTTTTTTTTTTTTTTTTTTCTGTCGACCGAAAAAGTTTGCCCATCCCTGATCTAGACGGTTCTGTACTCACGACATCCCCAACGGCGTCAACGCCGAGGGTCGAATTCGTGGACGTGCTGTAGGGCGCAAGCGCAGAAGACCAACCAATTCATTTACGATTCTGCATGGTACAGCAAATGCGCGGAGGCCGAGCCCATTACAGAGTAGCCAAGACGGGTTGGGAAGTTCGGGGTTGGGCGGGTTTCCTTGGGGGCACTATCCCCGGGGAAGGGGTCCCCCTCAAGAATCCCCAAGGAAAAGGAAAAAGTGAAGGTAGCAAGGGAATGTCGGTCTTCTCGAAAAGCCCGGGGGATGATTGATCTGATATGACTGCTATTGAGTTGTCAACCCTATGCCCAACTCTACCCCATAAAAAGAAAATAAAATACTCGAAATATACCAATAGGCAGACGGCCTAGATTCCAACATGAACTGTAGAGGCAGGGAGTTAGTTATTAGAACTGTAATTTATATTGAAGAATTAATTATCATACATATTATTTATATAACAGGGCTGTTGCGCCAATGAAGAAGGAGAAGAGTAATATGTATTTAAATACTTAAGATTATATATATATATATATTAAATAAAGAAATAATGCATCAGATTCCACGAAAACTGTTGCGACAAACTTTTCAAACACACTAAGAAAACATTTTTTGATTACAGCATTAAAATTTGTAAAAATTTTAAAATTTTGAAAAATATTACAGAAATTTAAAATTTTAAAATTATTTTTATTTGAAGCTAACTTCTAGCAATCTGGAAAAATTATTGTTATCCACAACAATAACTTTCAGTTATATGTAAAAATTTTACATGCTGTTAGATATTTTTTTAAGTTACAATATTCACAATATCAAAACTTCTGAAATTTTTTGTTGATAATGTACTTGTGGTTGAAACTTGTGGAATTGTGTGGGAGGGAATTTTGTACACACAATAAGCTAATTAGACCGGCACCTACAGTCGTTTCCTTCTGAACAAGCAAAATGGCCTCTGCAGTTACAAAATACTGCTCTTTTGGACGACTCTATTTGGTGCGGAAAAGAGATTGGCGAAATCGCAATCCTAAAGTGCATATTCCCCTCAAGAACTATGAAATTCAATAGTGAAAGGAATATAACAAAATTTAATAACTTCAGAACTTTATGAAGAAGCACTGAAAAATTCAGAGAGAAGTCTGTTAAGTGAATGGTAAAATTAACTTTTATAAACATGAACTAATCTTTCAATTTATCATGTGTGAACAAACTTGGACATGCTGGACGAATACACATGGAAGTATACCAATGTTCAATAACGCAAGATATTTATGAAGCAATTGGTCAGAATGTTACAAGAACGCGAGTTCTGCACTTTAGGGTTCCGCTTATTTATTTGACGATTTTTTCCTTCGCGGTTTTCGCTATAGTTATTGGTTGTAGTTAGTTATTAGTTTTTATAATTAATTAAATTGTGTATGAAACAGAACAGGTTTGAATCGATTTAAATTATTAATTTTGTTTTAGGAACCAGCATTATGTGTCAACATTTTAATTTATTTAATTAAAAAATGCAGTTTTAAATAATTGTATGTTAATATACAGTGGCATGGACTTATTATTTAATGAAATAAAATTTAAAAAATATAGAATCAGAGAGAATTCAATCGAATCAAATCTTTTTTAAGGATACTGAAATAATAATCTGTTTATATTTTGAAAGCTAGACAATTCAAAATGAACTACAGAGTACGTGACTTGATATGGATCAATCGTTATATTTAGTAACACACATTTCACACCAATTTTAAAACATACATGAATATAAAATGACGTGAAAATGAGCATTTATTTTAAATAAAAGTTTTTGAAATGAAAGTTTCTCGTGTTTCAGGAGGAGATTGATCTGTTTTAAGTAATAACTTACCCTCTTACTTATTTTATTTTATAGTTTCACTTTTTTTGGAGACGCCATGGAATTCTAGCTTGTACAATATTATGTTCACACATCATATTAAAGTATGATAAAATGAGATGTAAAACTAATGATTTAAGGACTAATTAAAAGGGGAATAAAAGAGAAAGAAAGAGAAGAAAAAAAACCACGAAAATAAATGCACAAAGCGGGTGCTGGTGAGGTAGTGGTTCCACTTGAGCCCCTTACCTACACAGAGATTTACTCACAAGCTATGTTAAATGGAAAAACAATTTGGTCTACTCCCCCAGTGCACCAGTGGTATCGGGGCCATCGACCTGGCGGTACTTTGACAGGCAGGGACAAACCGCAATCACCCGTTTGCTCAGTGGACACCTCAGAACTATGACTTTCTCAGATGGTTCGAGAGCTTTCGACACTTGCACCAAGTGCTCCTCTGAGTAGGCTTCACCATCTCGCATCTTGGGGCTCAGATGTCAGGATCTCCTTACAGTCCGTTGATGGTCTTGGACTTTCTTCGGGTATTTCGATTCATGGACCTAGTCTAGCCCCGCTGGACTTTGGGGATAGGCGAAGAAGAAGACGAGAGAGAGAGGAGCGGGATGAGCCATGCTCAATGACGGGCTTGAAGTTTGGTCATCCTTTTAGCGCTTTCGGAATTAGCGATTTTATAGCAGTGACGTATCTACATCTTCAAAAAAATATTTGTTCGAATCATTTTTTTTACATACTTTTTGTGTATTTATCCACTATTATTTTCCGAGTTCTTATTGCAGATTTAAAGATAAATATAGTTTTGATTATTTTTAAAAAATATACTATATTTACATAAATACTATTGTATATAGTATATTAACAAACGTGAACAAAAAATAAAGTGACAGATTTAAATAAAGTTATACAGTAGAATCTCTTTAAGTCGAAAACCTCCACAACTCGAAAAATAATTTTGTTCCTTTCCCTTCAAGCGCTAAAACCTCCATGACTCGAAATTTCAACCCTCTATATGTCGAAATAATGAGTCAATCCCCACACGCCATTTTGGTTTATATTTTCCCTCCGTAACTCGAAAAAAAAAATTGTACCTCTATATCTCCAAAATTAGCAATGCTTGATTTTACAACCTTTACAACTCGATCATTTGAAACTAATTACCTCTATAGCTCGAAGAAAAATAAGCTACCGAATTTAAGCATTTGCCGACAATGCACGTCATTGTTTCTTAGAAAACAACGTCTGAGTATACAGTAAATAAAATAACCAATTCTATGAAATATTCTCATTATAATTCTTATTATTGCTATTGATTTAATTTGAACGCTAGCTATAGATAGAGAACGATTGAATTGTGTAAAGCAAATAAATAAATAATTGATTTTTTTAATACATAATATTTTTAATTTTAAGGTTGTGTTCGGAATTATTTTGATTTTTTATTGTAGTACATAATTTAGCTTTTAAATTGCAAATAAACATGTTTATTACCTCTGTAACTTGAATTTTAACTTATTTTACCTCTCTAACTCAAAATAAGTCAGAAAGAATCTAAACCTCTACAAGTGGAATATTTCCTTTCAAAATCCGCGCAAGTCGAAATCCTCCATAAGTCGAAAACTCTATAACTCGAATTATTTGGCGTCTCCCTTGAAGTTCGACTTACAGAGGTTCTACTGTATATGTATGTATATATATATACATATATATCCGGTCATCTCATCAGAATGGAAAGTGATAGATAATTGCTTTGAGGGTTTTCAATGTAACCCCTTTTGGACAGCGACCAAAGGGAAGACAGAAAAAGAGACTGACTCTGATTTGAATGTTATTAAGATCAAAAACTGGAGGTCCACGGCCAAGAGGAGAACAGCCTGGCTGAATCTTTTAAAGAAGTCCCAAGGCCCACAACGGGCTGTCGAATCAGTTGTGATGATGATGATATATATATATATAACAGCAAATTGAAAGTACGGATTGTAATATCACAGAAGTGAGTGCAAATATTACTTTGTAAAATGGTAAAAAAA